ACACACACACACACACACACACACACATCTCTGCCCCAAATCCAGTATTTTACTTAAAGAGAAATCACTAGTCTAGAGGAATTCCCTCTAAAGTCAGAAAAAAGACAAGGATGCTCATTATCTCTACTAGCACTTATTACTGAATTGGAGGTATTAGACAAATCAAAATGATGAAAACTAAAAGAGATGACTAAAGTACAGGATTTAGGTTTAAAGAACCAGTTTCACAGGTTCAGGAATGGAGGACAACCTGACATGGCAGCTGATCATGTGAAAATAAACATGGATTTTTTAGAGCTAAATATGAACCCAAAGTGAGATAAGATTACTAAAAAAGCTAATGTAATATTATAAGCAGCTATGAAGAAATTTAAGATCTAAGTCATGTGAGGTAGAAATCTTACACACCACCAAATAAGGTGTCCTGGTATTCAGTTTTAGGTGACATACATTAAGTGGGCTATTCTTGACATAATAGCTTTTCCTATGCCTCACAGCAATTTCTATTTTTAAACACTTCCCATGTGCCCGGCAGTGTATTAGATGCTTATATCTTTTTTTGCCCAATTAAAGCCTCACAACCACCCTATCGAGGTAGGTGCAACTATAATTCTTGTTCTACAAGTGAGGAAATTTAGCCTTGATGAGATTAAGTAACCATCTAGGTTAGAGAGCTAACAAAGGGAAAGACCTTAACTTAAATCTGCCTAATTCCAAAGTCTATAACCAAAATGGTGAAGTCTGAAAAGAAAGCCATAGAAAAAACATCGTTCAAGAAATCAGAGGTTTTGAGCCTCGGAATGAAAAGATTAAGGGGACACATGGCAGGTATCTTCAAATATTCAAAAGAGAAAAAAATTCTGTATAGTATCAGAAATAATTGGTGTGATTACAAGCAGGCAGATGGCAGCCCCACTGTTTAACAACAGAATGGGCTACCCTGGGAGGAGAAGCACCTGTCAGGGCTACTGTAGATGTGACTGGTACTGGGAGTGGAAGTGGACTCCATGGACTCTACCTTGACATGTGTTCCCACTCCAGCTCGGCACGCTTCAAGCAGAACTTCAGTGAGTCTACTGATCTCTTACCATACCTCGCACCTTAATTCCCAAGGATTACAAATCTTCTCTAAGCTCACACAGTACAGCTTCTTGTCACATTATCCCTTTATGTTCCACCTATGCCAAAGCCCTCACCATTACCAAAGGGTAAGAAAAACCTCACTGGAGAGGGTGCAACTGCCAAAGCGAGGAGATGCAATCAAGGCTTTGGGTAGAGGAGATCACAGATGCAGTCAAGCTTGGCCTCTTGTTGACAAGGGCATAGATACAGTCAAATGCTCTGGTTAAAGAGAACACAGGTGCAATTAAGGCCTTGGGTGGAAGAGATAGGCTTGCGCTGTAAAGGGCAGCTATTTTAATTGTCAATAGAGAAGGCAACCAGGATTAAGCATAGCATAGGGGAGGAAAAAAGCCTTTGGCAGAACAAAACAATTAAAACCCTAGCACTGAAAGACTCCACTTTGAGAAAGTATATAAGCCAGGACTGAGAATTCTGCTATTAGTCGTGAGAATTCCTGAACAAAGAAGCAGACATTTTCGGCCCAGATGGTGTGGGATGGGACTGGCAATGTGGGACACACGTTATAACAACACTGGTCAAGGGAGAAGATCCCGCATGAGAACATCAGTGCCCACTGTGTGCCCATAAAAGAAAGAGAATAACGCATCACTAAAAATCCCATTACCAACCTAAACATCCATCAACAGAGCATGGAATACACAAATTATAGCATATCAAAACAAAGCAACACTGGAATTTTTAAAATTAATCACCAAGTTTTACAGACAGGCTCTGTGTATCTTAAAAGTAGGGATTACATTTGTAGTTTTTTTAAAAAAAGTACCAGCTCAATCCATGAGTTTATACTGACAGTGACGGGATCAATGGATTCTACGTAATGCCACCAGTGTCTGGGAACAAACAGAACCTGAAAACCAAACAAAAAATGGTTAGCATAAGAACAGGACAGTTTATTTTTATGTAAGACTCAAACCCAAATTGAAGGTGCTAGGCGGGGAAATGAACTTATAGTAATATTGCTATAGGAAAGGGAAACTAGAAAACCCCATAATCTTTTTGTTAACAAGTTGCAGCATCTCTAGTCTCTGCTCTCCTTAATCCTGGGCTTTCTCTGTCTGCATCTAAATCTTTGTAAAGGATTCTGAGATTCAAATTTTTCTTCTTTTCCATTGCAAAATAGTTGTACGCATTCTGAGCAAGGGGATAGGTAAACATATAGGACATAATTTCTGTCTTCTCAAGTCTAAAATCTGGCCAATGAAAAAATAATATATAGTGGGCCGACCGAGTGGCTCAGTTGGTTAAGAGTTAGCTTAAGAGCATGAGCTCTGAGCAATAGGGCCGCTGGTTCGATCCCCACATGGGCCAGTGACGCTGCGCTTGAGCTGAGCTGCTGCTGAGCTTACCAACAGGTGACAGGATGGCTCAGCTGGTGAGAGCACGTGCTCCTAACAAGACTGACTGTTTGATGGTGGGCTACGCCTGCCCTCAGCTAAGACTGAACTCAGCACCTTGAGCTGAGCTGCCACCCGGATGGCTCGGTGGATACAGCATGCGCTCTTAACAACAATGCTGCTGGTTCAACTCACACATGGGATGGTGGCTAGGCCCACCCGCAACTAAGACTGAACACGGCACCTTGAGCTTAGAGGCCATGAGCTGCCGATGGGCAATCAGATAGCAACTGGCGCCCTCCACAACTAAGATTGAAGAACAACAACTTGGTTGGTCCCCTTCCCCAATTCCCCAACATTGTTCCCCTCCCCCAATTCCCCAATTTTAAAAAAGAATAATACATAGAAAGGTGGCATCACATAAGTGGTAAGTCAGAGGAGTGGACACTGGTACAGGAGAACTCCAGAGGTGGGAGAAGCAGTCGTGAACTAGGGAGGTCAGGGGCAACCTGTATGGGGGAAGTGTGATTTGAACCAGGGCTGGTCAAGAATTTAGAAACAGCAAAAAATGAGGACATGCCAGGAGGGAGAAGTGGCACGGGCAAAGGAGATGGGAATGCTGAGGGGCAGCAAGCAGTCTGGTCTTACTACTGCAAAAGGAGCAATGACAGATAAGGTGGGAGAACTAGTTAGGTTAGGATCTGTGGAGGGCTCTGAATTCAGAATAAGGAATCTGAATTTCATCCCACAGGCACTAGGAGCTGCTGAGAAATTTTGAGTAGGGGGATGGTTAAAATCGTGACATTATGGGAAATCGTGGGAAAAACAGGAGGTTCTTGCAGTGGTCCCATGATTAGATGTTAAGATATAAATAGGAAGATATAGTAAACAAAAGCAATGGTCAGAGTCAAGAAGGACGGCATTTGTCCAGACTCAGGATGAGATTTCCTGTGGAGGGCTGGGCAGAGCTGATGGAGATGACCTGAAGGTTTGGGGTTTCGTGTTTAGGAGACTGGTGGCAATTGCTATGGACAAGGTGGAGCTGGGAGATGGGAAGAGAGATCCGTTTAGTAGAACTGGGCACTAAAAATGACCACTGGATTTAGTCATTAGGAGGTCACGAATGTCCTATCATGAGTATACTTTCAGTAAAATGCTAAGAGAGAGAACCAGTTTGTGGTGACTTATGGAATGGGGAAAATGTAATAAGAAAACCGATAAAATAGACAGAAATGCTCGTTCAAATTTGGCTATTAAAACTGAAGAAAAAATAAATTAGCAATCACCTCATACCTACTAGAATGTTAATAATAATAATAATAATAATAATAATAATAATAATAACAGGAAATAACAAGTGTTGGTGAGGATGTGGTGAAACTAGAACCCTCATACATTTGGTGGGAAGATAAAACGGTGCAGCTGCTGTAGAAAACAGTTTCACTATTCCCTAAAAAGTTAAACACAGAGTTGCTATATGACCCAGCAATTACACTCCTAGATACCCAAGATAATGGAAACCATATGTTCATACAAAAACTTGTACACAAATGTTCATAGCAGCATTATTCATCAAAGCCAAAAAGTGGAAACAACCCAAATGTCCATCAAATGATTAACGGATAAACAAAATGTATCTCCATACAATGGAATTTACTGAGCCATAAAAAGGAATGAAGTACTGATAACACCGTACAGCATGGATGAACTCTGAAAGCATTATGCTACGTGAAAGAAGCCAGTCCCAAAAGCTCCTATTTTGTATGACTGCACTTATAAGAAATGTCCAGAATAGATAAATCTATAGAGAAAGAAAATAAATGAGTGGTTGTCAGGGGCTGGGGGGACAGGTGACGGGGAGTATCTGCTAATAGGTTGAGTTAACTTGGTCAAGTCAAATTGTTTGAGTTGGCGTACTCGCGTGTGAAGGAAGCAGGAAAGAAGCCAGCAAGTAGGGACCAAAGGAAGACAGCAGGCAGAGGGGAGAGATAATCAAGGGAATAAAATCTCCATGAGAGACGAAGAAAACCTTTCAAATTGTTAATAAAACATCAGACAGCAAATGTCAGTGTTGTAAAGGTGACCTTCCCCACTGGGCAGCAGCATTAGGTACAATACCTGTGGAAATGTTTCAGAGAGAGTTGCAAAAGCAACAGCCAGCCAGTCCTGCTTCCAAGCAAGCCATCCTCAGTTCATTCTGCCTCTTGCTGGCCCGCCAGGTGCTTAAGTACCCATGCCTTGACACTTCCTCTTAACCTGAATAAAAATGGCTGTGTGTTTTCTTCCTCCAGTCTATTCTCCGTTTTACCAGGAGGAGGAGACATGTTCCTTTCTCCGATCTTTCTAGGGCCTGAGAAGCAGAGAGCAGTGTGCAGAATCTGTAGCTGGGGAAGCTACTGCCCAACAGCAGAGCGCCAGCGCCAGGGAAGGAAACCATTCTCATTTGTATTGTGGGGGAGGGGAAGAGAGGGTCACGTGGCCCAGGGACTGAGAGAAGTTACAGCGACAGTGTCCTTTGACAGGTCATCAAGGTTTTAAAACCCCCATTTACCTGTCCTGGGCTCAGCGACACCACATGTCTTTGAGCTTTCTGGAACTGAGGGAAACGTTTGAAATCAGGATGGACAACATTGACTTTACTGAACACACTAGATTCTTCATACGGGATTCTAGTTGGATAAAGGAAAGGAGTATCTTCAGGAGGAAAGAGATGCCATCTTTTCCTAATTAAAAAAAAAGAAAAACAAATTTATACTGTAAACTAGAGATAAAACATAAAAGAAAGCGGCAGCTAGGGGCAGTGGTCCCCAGGCCCACCTCCTGTAAGTGCTGGAACCTCCTCTGCTGGAACCGGGGGAGGTCGGGCAGGACCTGGTAAGTGTCATGATGCCCCTTTCCTAGGACAGGATCCAATGTGAAAGATCATTTTTTCTTCCCTCAGATAAAAGTTGTCACAAATTGTTTCTATCCTCTGATTCTACAGCTACCCAGAATAACCCCCAGCCTTTCAAATATCTGTATTCTTAGCTTATCCAGAGCAACCACCCCATAGTTCTATCCACCAAATAGTTTCCAGACTTCTTCCTATTGGAGTTGTAAATTGCTTTAGTTAAACACTTGTTAAGTTAATCCATTAAGGAAGAGAAATGCATAAATGATGCCACACAACTATAAAGTAGTATAATACAGGAATGTTTCAAAAGAGAAAACTATAAAATGTTTCAAGTCACTTCAAACATTTTTTAAAAATGGAGGTGATAAATTTTAACTTACAAAACACCAGACACTTCAAGCTAATAGAGGTTGGGCATCAGAGACAAAGGAAAAAGAAGTGTGAAAAGGGAGCAATACAGACAGAAATACACAGATGGGGAAGAAAAGAGAAAGAGAAAAAAAAAACATCTAGCGCTGAGAAAAGCCCCAAAGCCCTGGAGTGACCCTGTGCAATTATAGTGGGGGGCATCATGTCCTTTCAGAACCAGGAAGCAGTAAGCTGCTATTTTCAAACTGAGACGTACTCATATACATTGAAGTCTCATTTTGCCTTAGAGATAATAAAGCGGCTCCATTCCACTCTACCCATGGCTAGTTGAGGAGAAGTTTCAGCATTTAGTATGTTTAGAATGTTAGAGTTGGAAGGACTCTTAAGAGATCATCAGTCTCATTTCACTTCAAAGCAGTGGAAGAGGGACCCAGCACTTGCTCAGGTCAGTCACTGAGCTAGTGGTTAGTGGGAGAACCAGAACTAGGTCACAGATCTCCTGACCTCTCCAGATCCCAGCTCCTACCTCTTCACCAGAGCTGTGTTTCCCAAAGAAAAAGCCACAAAGATAACATCCCATACTATATGGTTTGCTTGGCTTCAAATATAATACATATGCATCCTTCTTTTGTTAATCAGAGAACGTAGCCAATCATCATGTCATCCCCTGCTCAAAAAACCTCTGATGGTCCTGCAGGCTGAAAGAACAGAGAATAAGCAGTATTTGCCTGGGAGTTAAGACCTGCCTTTCTGGCCTGATTCCTCTGACTCCAACATACAAGTTGCACTGGACCACTCACAGGGTACTCTATACACCCCATGTGCTGCCAGCCAGGGCTCTAAGCTGGTCCCTCTGCCCCTCCCATCTGTGTCTTTTGAACACTCACCCATCCTTCAAAGCCCATCACAAAAGGCATGTCCTCTCTGAAATCTTCCCTAATCTTTCCAATAGGAACGTTCGCTCGTCTACTGTTCAGTTCTATAGCTCTGTGACACCTTCCTCAAGAGTATGTTCATTCTGCCACACCTCACAGCTTTCCATGGGCTTGCCTGCACTCCAACTGTACACTCTGAGGGCAGAGAGGTGTCTTACTCACCCATGTCTGTTTATCCTGTAACACAGGGTACCTGCACAGCAGGACATTCAGTGAATATTTCCTGAATGGTTATTTATTATTCCAGAGCTAGATAAGGTCAGAAGATAGGTTCTATTACAAAGTTAAACTAAATCTACATTAATTTGGTATCATAGAAAGAACCCAGGTATTTTTGGTAATGTTTTTCCAACCTGAATTTCTTTGGCTAATTTCCATATTCAGAACACATAGGAAGTGGCTACTTAAAATGATGTCGTCTCTTACCAACTTTAAGGTTACTCTATTAGCTCCACAAGGGCAGGGACCATGCACACTTGATTGACTGTTGCATCCACAGCATGTAGTATGGCACCTAAGATTTTCCAAGCCTTTTAATAAAGACTTGATGATTCAAAGAGTGGACTACCTTATACAATTTTATAACTTTTCTAAGTAGTTCACATGTGAAATCTATTCACATACTTTCTCACTGTTTCTCTTGGTTCCACTCATAATCCTTTCATGTCTAAAGGGTATGAGAACTTGGACATGGCCGTTTCTGCTTTTCCCTCTGTGCTGTCCAAAAAATGTCCTGAAAGGCCAGGAGAGGAGACTGATGTATCATTAATTTGGGGAAAGTAAGACGGCACATACAACAGCCAGAGTACATCCTCCAGTGGGAGAATGATGAAACCCTCACATAACTCCTAGAGCCAGGGACTATCAAAAGTATTACCTGGCTTAGCTTTTATGTCTCTTAGGGTTCACAGATAGATGGAGATAATTAAAAAAAAAAATACTGCATTGTGTCCATAGGTAGGTAAAAAGTAAAATTTAGAGTTGAAAGAGGCCATAAAACACCAATTGGTCCAGCTGTTCCCAAACCAGGCTCCCTGACATCCCCTCAGGGACTCGGGGGTAGCAGCAAAGCCTCGTGCTTCAACAAGCTGCTCTGCTCCTAGGTATTTAGGTTTGAAGAAAGGGTATTCCTGCTTCTAAACAAAAGTTTAAAAACACAACTGCAGGCTCTTATGTAAAAGAGCAAAGCAGAGAGCTGTCTAGCCAAACTGGGAGTAGAATCCTCAAGTTCTAGGATTAGCTTTCTGAAGGCAATCTTGAACACCGCTGAGAGAAGCTCATGGAAACCACCATTTAAACTGTTCCTCTCACTTCACACAGGAGGAAACTGAACCAGAGGTCAAGAGATCTGCCCTGGCCATAAGGCAGGCTGACAGGATAGGGCTGGGCTAAACCTTGGGGTCCTGCCGCCTACTCAGGACTCATTCCGCTTCCAGTGCAACAGATGTCTGTCTGTCTGTCTGTCTCTCTCTCTCTCTCTC